ATTTGACCGTAACTTAAATCCGGTAATGCCCGGAGAAATGTTGATATCAAATTACGTTTGGCCAATTATAAATTATATTCAAATGAAATATTATTTACTATGTTCATATGTGAATTTGGAACGTTGTTACGTTGAACGTTGGAACGTTGTTAAGTGGAATATTTGTCGTTAGAAATAAATATTTAATAAACTTATTAGGAATATTTTATTAAGCGACTGCTTTCTGCTGCTGTTTACTTTCAATTTTGTATTTGTGAAGTGAAATCTCTGAAATTGATATTCCAAAATCGGTTTATTCGACAGGATGCTGTTGTAGCGTTTTTTTTTATCACTTTGACTCTTTATTTAAATAGAAATTAGTACAGATACAATTCTACTCAACCCACAATTTCCATGCTTGTACCATGTATGTATCGCGTAACATATACATAAATATTCTTTATTTATATGGCATGCCAGATCGAGTTCAGTATATTCGTATTTTTCTTAATCGTTTTAAAGCTTTCCATCTGAAAATAGTCAGTTTAGGAATTCAAACATTATTAGCAGTTGTGAAACTATACAGAATACACGTGTCTATTGAGCTTGATCTTAGAAAAAGTTATTCAGAAAAGGCCAAAACATGACTCTCTGACACCTATTAATCAAATGTCTTGATTTCAATAAATTTTTAAACCAAACGTGGCCGACGAAGAAATGATGCAAATATATTTGTGTCCTATGCTTGATGATGGTAAGTCTATAAAACTAACTAAAAAGTTTGACAATCAGATTTGGATTTGTTCGGGGAAACTGGCAACGATTTCACCATGTACAACATGTTATACGCGGGAATCTGTCACCAACATTTCCTATTGTGTCGTCACTATTCACTAAATCGTTATCGTCGTCACCGAGTCGGTAATCGTTCAATTTTTACATCACAAGGATTGACATTGAATTTAAATTTTAAATGTCGAATTGAAATTGGTTTCAAATTGTCAGAAATAACATGAAATATAATGTTGTAAGACAAGGAGACTGTCGCGTCGTTTCAACTTATTACAAATAAATCGAATTTTCATTTTTTTATTTCGAAGTTTTCAATACAATAACATGATGAAATGCAAGAATAAAAATCCGAGCAACCCCTGGAGTAGTAGAAGCGTATCAAGAAATCCATCAAACTCCACAGAATTTGTATATATATAATATATACTATTTTCCGACTGATGAACTTCAGTGCATCCCTAATCTGGTATTTGTATCTATAAATTCGTTCTAAAATAAACATTAGGGTACAGCGAATATAAAATAAATTAGGAGTAAATACTTTGACCCTTTTACGGAGAAGTCCATTCACATAGCGATTGGGACATTCATACTCCAAACCTAATTTCGACACAAAATTTATAATCTTCCTCCGTTGCTGGAACGTGATTTACTGAGAGTGAACTAATGCGACCGCAGAGGAGAGGATCATGCAATTGAATTATATACATTATTAGATTCATTACACATAACATCCCCGGTGAATTGAAGACGAGTGAAAGCTTTTTCTGGTCTATACCTGGCTTCCCGAGTTACAAAATTTTTTCACTCGTAGTTAGATAATTATTTTGAACTCCATCAGCACAAAAACGGCGCTAAAATACGGCCTTACTTGATCTGTTGTACAAACATACTTTCTACAAAGCTTCTTTCCATAACATTGTTAATTTGAGATTCTTCAAGTTTTATGTCAATCAGGATCCACACACGTTCATTCACTGGTATACCAGTAAATTCAGGTAATAGCCTTAGTATGTCAGGGGTTACTCATAAGCCAGTATAGCGACATGCGTGTTCGGCAAACTCACATGAAAAGAATTAGTTATTCAGAATATCTGAATACTTGTTTAGTACATGACATATCATGAATTATAAAATTTGTACACTCTGCCTGAAATGTAATTTTTTTTCCATCCATTGTCACCACAATCGAAACATATCACAGAGAAAATTATTGTCAACAGATGTATAACATAAGTACCCATACTTTACATACGTTCTTGAGCAAAAGTGTTTTCACCATGTAACCACAAGCCATGATTGTGAGGGCCAAATATGAGGCCCATTGTAATGTCGGGATCCTTCTCTGGCCCACACTCGAAAAAACACATTCTGGTCGAAGTAGATACCAGGCATCGCTGATTTCGGATATTGCTTTTATTAATTTCATCAGAAAGAGTTATTTATTCAATACTAATTCATATATAATAGGAAATAATATACCGACGTGTTGAAAAATTGTGAATCCACTAGAAATCGGTGTCGAGGGTTCTTAACTCAATTGGTGAAGTGCTTTTTATAATTAGTCGACATGACGGTCAGTGGGCAGGTGATACAAGTCTTTTATGACTATATAATATCAATTTTAAAATCTACAATATAGAAGTATAATAGGCCGTATATATGCCTTGCATAACCAAGTAAAAATCTCACGTAGTTTTGTTTTTATGGAATGTAGGGTAGGTTGTTGTGTTTTTAGTGGGCGAAAGCGCATGGATAGCCATTAAGAAGAGGAAGCTACCTCACAATTTTGAAATTGTAATATCAAAATAAATAAAGGCACTATGAAATAGATACAAGTTACAAGCTGGTTGTTCGAGTGATGATAAGTAGGGAAAACAGGTTTAACTTTTACAACACAATTTTAATTTCGTTACACACTCGATATAATACTGGAAATCATTTCAATGTGTTAACTAAAATCAAATCTTGCTTTTACACATACGAGTAAGATCTATTGATACTCATTTTTACTAACTATGGATCGATCTCAAAAATCATTGTTGCGCAATAACCCGTATGAAATAGTATGGTTTGGACCATTATTGGTAATAAAGAAATAGTCCGTACGGCTTTTTTGAATAATTACTTTTAAAATACGTATTTTCACAGTTCCATATATATTTCGGAACGTGCAACAGTTTTTTTTTTTGAATATTCTCAAAGCTGAGAATATACGGGCTTTGAAAATTTTAAATGAATTGAGTCCTTCGAATTAAAAGAATCATTGCTATTCACGCCGTATTATATATATAGGGTTTATAGGATTTTAACTTTTGCCTGCAATACGAAAGTTTTAATGATTACTTAGTTCGAAGTTCGATTATCCAATACAGAAATAATATTATATAGAAAATTGAGTTTTTACTAAGTTTCGTTTTACCATAAACTAATGCGCAAACAAGTAATGAGGTATTGTCGCGTAATGCACACCGCAATTGTATCTGGGTACAGTGGCACGCTAATGTTTCCTTACGTTCTGAGTGAGTGCGCGTTACCTTGCTTTGGAAGAAATCCCCCTAAAAGTATTAGAGGAGGAGGGAGGCTACTGTTTAACGATGCTAATGATTGTTCAGTGCACATATTATTTAACCCTATTTTTTAAAAACATATTTAGGTACTCCTGAAGTATACGCACCAAGATGTCGCATAACCTGAACCCTAACCTGGTACACAACCTGAGTTCAAGTTGTGCGCCATCTTGGTGCGCATACTTCAGGAGGTCCCATATTCAACTAAAAATTTAAAAATATTTATTTATTGTATAGTTTAGATATGACACCACGTGCTCTTCTCGATGTTCAAAATACCCTATGCTTTTATTGCATTACGCGAAAGCAGTAGGTGGATATAGCAATCAAAAATTTCATCGTAAAGGAGTATATTTAGACGTGATGACAACAAAACTCACCTAATTTCAACATTAAAATTTCTTGTTAAATCGCATGATTTTCAAGGAAGAATGAAAGTATTAAAAAATGTGTGGGAAAAGCTATATTTATTATGAGAAAATTATTTTTAAATAAAATTTTCCACTTGAAGTATTTATTACTGGTATTTTTGTTCTTACCCTACGAATCAAAATACTTCTGATTGATATATCATCCCCAATCTAAAAACGTTTGATAGTCATTCAATTTCAAATACTTTCATCCTTATTGATTGGTTAGGCCACACATTGTCTGGTAACAAGGCAACTGCGTAATAAACAATAGCAACTGTATCTATGGACATATAAGTGTATCATTATGATAACTGCACTTAAAAAATATCGATTGATGAGGAGAAACAGAGTATTTGACAGCAGCCTTACTGGTGGTAATTAAAGTGGGTTTCAGATATTGTTTTTACGTGGACAATAATAAGTTCGGAAATATTTACATACAGTTTGCTTGGAAAGTCCTTTTGGTAACTTTACCATCTCCCATGTCCAATTAAATTGAGTTATAGAGTGGCGTCAACCATTTAAATCACTAACGAATATATTATATTTTCATTTTGTTTTTAAGTAGTTAAATATACTTTGCATGAATAAAGTAACAACATATTTGCGTACAAACTTCCTGTTTGGAAATTATGAATTTGACTTTAAGAAACTTTCATAACTGTAAGCTTTGAAGAATACCAATTTAGGATTCCTGTTTATCGTCGCCCAGTGATCAACATTGAAACCATAATTTTTTTACATAAGATCGTTCCCAGGACAATTTTCATATTAAGTTAGATTCTTTACAGAACAAAATAAAGTAGAAACGTTCTTCCATAATCATCCCTATTCCAAGATGCTGGATCAAAATTCTTTAGACACCAATAGTCCAACTTTAAATTATCTTTCGGCGCCTCAAAACCGCAACCGAAGGGTTACCAGGTTTTGAAACGATTCCATAGTCAATGCGTCAATTGGACGTTCAGTATTCAACAGTTTCGTATGTACATTTCAAATCGTTGGTCAATGCTTTAAAATTAAAATTAGATTTTTGCACATTACACCTCTGTTTCAAACTTTTCTCTGTTTGGTAAATTTAAACAATATGATTCACTGTGGTTTTGAACAATATTCATATACAACCATCGCCCACTTATCATTTCCAAACCTGCTCGACTACATATTGTTCAATATTCCAAGCCTATCTGTATACTAATGACGGTTATCCCACACGAAACAATAGAAAAGAAGCAACAGAAGAACGTCATTTTGCAATTTCCGTGTATTGGAAAACGAAAAGAATAAATGAGAATATTAATATTGAAAAAGCCACTCAATAATTGAAGATAAACGTACATCCTGTCAGCTCCACAGAAAAGAAGATTTTGCGAAACAAAAATATCGTAACAAAAATGTCCATTTTGCAATTAATTAGAAAAAAAAAACGATTAGCCCACACTTTATGATTTTCATCCAGAAAATTGTAGCGCAGCAATTTTACAGTGGCTATTGGGTTCAAAAAAGGAACAAAAAAATAAACAATAACAGTAAATAATAAATTTATATGTATATTATGGCCGATAGAAAGGCCTTTTTAAATGTTCTTTTCTAATGTTTGAACTATATGTGTGATAATCTCATAATGGGGAAAATATATACAAGGGTAAATTCAGAAATGAAAAAGCCACTCGTTCAAAATTATAGATAGAAATGGCTGCTAATTAGCTTTACTCGCTTGTCGATTTCGATAATCGTTGCGATGTCATGTTTTCCGGGAGAAGCCATCTTGGAATATTCACACTTTCGTTCTTTTCTGATTGACAAAACGACGAATTTTCAAAATTCAGGCTAGACTTTGGTGGTGAATGAAGAGGCATAAATGGATGATTCACGCCTTGGACGTGTTGTTGGTAAAGACGGTTGGGCAAAAGAAGAGATCGATGATGATAAGGAACTTCGCGGGGATCGAACATCGTTAAACTCGGCGGATTGTTGCAGTTACCATCGGCAGGTGTACAGTGGTGCGTTTTCAGATGAATTTGTTGAGTGAACTTAGCAGGGCAAAACTTGCACATGTATGGTTTGTCTCCACTGTATAATATAAGATGAGCGACTTGAAAAAAATTCAATATTAGCCAGGACAAGCGTCAAATATGACTGAAGAATCTTGTATCAAGATTCTTGTTCAAAATGTTACCGTAATTTTGCGAAAAAATATCATTCATGGCATTAGTAATATCTTAGAGTTCAGATTATTTTTGATTAGTCTTTCTTCAAATAGTTCATTCACCAATTAGAATCAATTTTTATAAAACATATTACTTTGAAATATACGCACTGCAAACCTTGTCCCAATCAAATTAAAAATCCGCCTATGTTACCTACCTATGTAATCGTCTGTGTGTCTTTAAATTACTGGAAGAGCTGAAACGTTTGTGACAGTCTTCACATTCATAGGGCTTTTCACCGGTGTGAACAAGATTGTGTTTTTGCAAATGTGCAAGTTGTGTGAAAGCCTTCGTACAAGTTTCGCATTTGAAAGGTCTTTCACCAGTGTGAACGCGTAGATGGACCTGAGAATATGAACAATTCAATTTTAAAAATTGAACGAATGATTTCTTGAAGATATATTGACATTTTTTACGTTTATTAATTATCATTGTTCATGTACAATTTGAGAAAAAGGTGCAGGATAAGAATTAAATTTTTATTTCTGAGTATTTTCTGTTTTTGAATAATCACTCCTATTGATATTTTTTCTATATTTATAGTGCTTCTCAATTTAACTATGATAAAGCGTATGCGTTATTAATTTAATTAAATAATAAAATAATGTAGTTACCTTCAAATTTGACAGTTGTCCAAATCTTCTTGAGCACACATTGCATTCATAAACAATTTTTCCGTTTTCTTTACGAAGAGGGTAAGGCAGAGACCGATATCCAGAGTTTGGGCTTCTTTTGCGAAGTTTTGAAGTTGAGCTGGAATAGGAAATACTCTAAAATTATAAAACTAGAAAAATTGTCGAATTACAAAGCGATTGTCCCTCTGAATTGCTGGAAATAGTTACATTGTCATTTGCCTTGAATTTCGAGTTGAAAAATTAGGAACAGTAGAAATCATTCAACGCATATGAATTTGAAAAATGTATATCCTTCATAACTACTCAAAACAAATCAGACTACGACAACATTAAGTAAATATAGCCAAACATATATTTTAAATTCTCACCTTCGTGGTTCCACGAGAGTAGGCATTGAGTAAGGCGATTGAGGAATTTTCATTGATTCTTGACTTTTATCTGCGCACAAATCAGAACTGCTTCTTCGAAGTTGTTCAGCAATATTGAGCTGGTCATGGTACGGAAATGGACTCGGAAACGGTGCTATAAAATACAAGAATGTATTATATTAATGGTATTTGGATGGGAAATGAAAATCCTAAACAAAAGTGTACTAACCTGTTTCGCGAGTTTTTGATGGATTTGGAACGATAGGATTCGTCCGAAAATTGTTGTGTGGAACTTGTGCGTCTTTTCCTCCTCTTGCCAGAAGAGAGTACGCGGCTAGCATAAGGCGACATTGTTCTCCGTAAACGTTTCTCATGTAAGGCGATGCCATCATGTATGGACAGGGTGTTGGAACTTGAGATCCCCAGAATGGCGGCATGAATTGAGAAAAACACGGGACATTACCATTGTTATTGTTGAACGCGGGGACGTGTTGAGCAAGGTCACGTTGTGCATCTAAATTGGCCCCCTTCCTAGTTAGTAAGTTCCACATTTCTGATTGCGAAGGGGACATTTGAGATGGAGATTGCACTTTCGGCGACTTCGTCAAATTCATTCCTCTTTCGATTTCGCGTGAAGAATCGTTGGAAAATTTCCTTTCGCAAGATATAGAGTTTCTTTCTTTCTTAATATTCATATCAGGGCTTCGCTTTGCAGATTTTGAGTTTTCAAGCTCTTCTTGTGCGCGAGCAAGGAAATGGGAATTCATGTTGTAAAGAAGATTCTGATACATGGAAGGCAACGGTGGATTTGAAGCAGCTGGAGTTGAAAAAGGTTTTCGTCCGCTGTCATCTGATCCCCAAGGTGCTGTTGAAGGCAGGGGATTTCTGAACATTGGGAAAGCGGTGTTTTGAACGAACGGTTGTTGTGGACTTGGGCTTTCGCTTCCGTAACCACTATCTGAAGGCGAGTTAACACTTTGCCCACTTGGCGATCTTAGATCTGTCGCGGAAAACGATGTCTTTGGCAGCGCAACTTCACCCGGAAAATTTCCCTTACTTTGCTTTTCGGTTTCGTTGTTGTTCGGGTCGTCCTTTTGAAAAATCCCCGATTTTGTTGTCAAATTCAAGGCCACTTCGTCACAGGGTTGGTTGTTTGATGATGAAATCTGTTCCGATTTATCGTCTCTTTTGATAAGTTCATCTATTTTGAAAGACGTCCTCTTTCGTACAAAGGAGGATGAGTTGTCATCAGAATTCATTGTAATAAGGTTATCACAGACTTGCAGCGTTGACTAACTCAAATTTTTTAATATTACAAACGGTTGATTCAGAGAATATCTATACGAAAAATGGTTAAAATAATTAATTATGATGCACATAGAAAAAAACTCACTGTTCCCAATAACTGACTTCTTTTAGCTGGTAAATTATTAAGAGAACCTAAACTATGTATATCTATATTCTTTCGCTATACATTTTAACATATTGTTTCACTGCGCTACTGGACGCCATTTTAAAAACTCACCAAGTCAAAATAATATGATTTTTGTATTTTTTACAATTTCCTCCAATATTAGACATTGCGAAAATTATTGCTTAGACTGTATATCTGTTTACAAACTAAAATACACCTTTAATATAAAGAATCCTAGAGCAGACCCACTAGCCTCTGAAGACATATTTCAACTGCGGCCTTGAGGAATGAATGCGACATTTTTAAGAACCCAGGTCTGTCTCCACTCAACAGCGCCTTTTTCTCTCGTGTCAGAACGAGAGCCAGCTGGTCCGGAGAAGGCTTCGCACTGTTTGGTTATGCTTCGTTTCGATGAAATGTAACGTTTTTATACATATTATGTTACCATTCTAACCATTTGTAAGAAAATGTTACAGTTGCAAATTTTAAATTGTTTCCATTGTGTTCACTTCCTGAATCTTAAATTTTGGTAAAATAACAAAAGAATATCCCAAACTTTTATCATTTATAGATAACTTTGCAAATAAACTTCTGGAGACATGCTCTCCCGTGCGACCAACAACTTTCCGCGCTTATGTTTACTTTTGCGCGACGCGTTTTCGATTCATTGGGGAAACAATGCTCGCTAATGACCTGAGCTGATAACACCACACAGATAAGCCCCAATCAGTTTGAAAAACAAACTAACGGCGACCAATTTCTCAAATGAAAAGTAACTCAATTGTTCCAAATCATTTAAGCCATTGTAAACAGTTTTGCTACAATGTTTCTTTTGCAAATAAGATTTAAAATCTTATCTATTGACACCAGAGGCTAACAAGCCTAAATAATTTTTTATTGTAACCCTATAACATTTCTTATTTTTGTGATTTTTTCTGAGTATAGACACTGTTTTACTGTAGATATTTTTTTCAAACTTTTACAATACTAGGTTGGAAAATATATTCGCCCGATTTTTATTATTATTATCATGACTCCATCAGAAAATTGATCGAGCATTTTGAGCCAGAATGGGTCAGTCTTCATTAGGTTTAGGAATGGTTAGCGTACGAGTTTGCAGACAACTCTTTCTACGATAAGTAAAGATGTTTTGTGTTCAGTATTCTACCTAAAAATTTCATTTACGTTCTTTTATACGCTCACAATGTTCTGATCAAAGATTTTAGAAGCTTTTTTTGAAAATTTCATAGGTCGTATATGTTTCCCATATTTGCATATGTAAGGGACTTCCATCTGAATTTCGCGTACTTTTGAAATATTTGGAGAAGCATTATCACCCATCATCAGCTAATTTGGGTTCAATTAACGTTTTTCAATCGGTAAACATGGTTAATTTCGCCGAAAAAAGAACTTAAAATAATTTCGAAATAAGATATTTGACACGAAGTACCTTACTGTCCAATATGTCACACCCTCATATGGCAATTCAAAGATACAGAGTGTCATCCATTATGCGAATACCGGGAATTTACGAACGGCAAACACTTACAGCGTTACTAGAAGAAGGTATGATTACCAAGAGCAATTGTCATTTAATAAATTCAGATTAAATCAAACATACTTGAATAAATTGTATTGTTAGGTCACTCGTATCAGCAATATCACCTTGCAGATATTTACACGAAAATATGTAATGCGAATACGCTTGCTTGAGAGCATGTTGTCTTGTAAATTGAAATTCATTCTAACGGGTGTTAAATGGTTATTGTCTTTGATGAGAAAATGCCAAACAGACTCCCAGTTTACAATAGCGCCTTCGTCGAAGGAGAATCGTCTTTTAGAATCAAGATAATAATGGATAGATTGCAGAATATGTCGAAGATGCTCTTACAAGATACCGTTTCCTTCCTTTTATGGGACATATGAATGCATTTCGTGAATTACAATTGGAGTGATATATTACAAATGGTTGGAATTGCCTTTTCCCAGAAGCGAACGTGGGTATGATTACAATATATTACATTTTCACTGATTGTATAATAGGCACGACTTATTTTTAAATTGTCTTAGGCTATGGATATGCCGAGTATCCAGATATCGGGTATCCGATTGTGTTTTATAGTTGCATAAGTGTTGAACAATTCGTAGTAATTTCCTTTTTCGTGTGTAGATAAATACAATTCGTCTAATTTAATATAGATACAATATACAGTGTTATACAGTTCATTGTATTATAATAACTATTCTCATAGCACATGAATATGCTGTTTCCAAATCGACAAAAACACTTGCCGGTATTGCAAGCCTTATCACATTACTCGAATCAGCATTAAACACCAAATAAAGAATTTATCTTATTGGAAAAACTTTTCAAGTAACCAGAACTACAAATATCGATATAGGTTTGTAGCATTGATTGGAAAGAATATATAGACATATAGTTTTCTCCGAAAAAGTTACAGATACTTTCTGTTGGGAGGAATTACTGCCGAGCAAATTATTTTCAATTTTGTTCTGGTAAAATCGGTAAGACTTCGCACAAAGTTATCGCCAAGCAAAGTATTTCAAGAATCCAATGAAACTGTGTCATGTCGCGAAAAGGAAATATCTCAATGGTAAAATTCTTGTACAAATACCGCGCGTTTTCAAAAGTATGAATTTTAAGAGGATAATCCGAAGATGATATGTAGATTCTGATCACAATATTACGCTTATTTCAAACGTATAGTCGTTTCCGATTCCCGCTATGGGAATTCCGCTTTCTCTGTTGGAGAGTCAACGATGATGCAGTGATACATTTAGCCGGATATGGTTTTCGGAGATCCTAGCCACAGTTATAAGTGAGTTGAGTGATAAGTGAGTATTTGCGTAGTGAGTATTGATACATAGGAATGCGCAATAGGGTATAATGTTCAATGTACCCGTAACATTTCGCATCGAATGAGTGAATAAGATGCATACATAAGAATTTAGGTGGTAAGTACCACTATGATCTTTAAATCAGTTGTTTTCAAACTCCAACTCATAATCCGCGCCCCCCTTTGAAGACTCCCAGCACTCCGTGAGCCCCTGGTCTTCAATCACAAAACTGGTTATCGTCTTTAATGGTTTCTATGAGTTCATTTTAGCCATGTATACCGATAAAACCCAAGCGAACGAAATTTAAAAAAATTCACATTTGTACTGTAAATTGATATAGTCACCGCAAATGTTAGCTAGTGAAGTTCTTTTTCCGTGGCCCAATTTGAAAAACAGTGGCTTAGATGTAACGTAGCGCAATGGAGCGATTTTCAATGTACACCTAACGTTTCATATCAAATACTTCAATGAGATGCGTATGTACATAAAGTGCCGTTGAAAATGACAGGCTGAATAGTTATACATCTTGCTTGCGTTAATTCTCAATGCTAAATGGACACAGTTTATTTTATAATAAATCGGATTAATTTTTTTTTGGTTATCGATACCAAGATGCCGCTTATATTTTGCAAAAGTGTTTGTCGTATTTTGCAGCTAAAACACAATTATTACTCATAAAATCAGTTTTCACCTGTTTTTATCATCGTCGTTACTCATTTGCTATTCAATTTTTTTTAATAAAAAATGTCACCACAAAAATAGTATGACCTTGATGAACTCATCAAACTCTTTTTTTTTTTTAAAAAAGTCAATGACAAAAAATGTCACCATTACTATTAATTAATGTGATTGCAAATATTTTGCTAATCATCTCACAAACTCATATTATGACGTCATCGGCATAATATATAACATTAGGTATGAGAGAGTATGACAATTTGTAACGTTCGCGTGGTGCAACTGATAATAATTCAATTTTATATTTGTAACATAATCGACATGGTAAAATTGTACTAAGAGCAAAACTATAGAAAATCTCATCTTACCTTAGCAAAGTAAAGATAAAACAGTAATATTAGTTGCATATTACAGCAATGATTAATTAAATTTTTTTCAGCAAATATTGAAACGTGTTTCATCTACGTTGAGGCTAATTCTTGAAAATTATACTCGTAATTACTCATATATATTTTTGAAAATTCAAAATTTTGAATTACCTTTAAATGCATGTGAATTAACAACTTTTATGATACCTTTAGTGAGTGACAGGGGTATGAATAAGTTTTTGAGTAACAAACAATATATCGTGTCGATTAATTATAATTTGTCATTTTTAATGTAGTCACTACACAAAACAAAATCATTCGTTTCAAATCACTTGAAAAATTTATCATAAATGTTCATACAACAGTAGCTAAGATATTGTCTGAGTTTAGAAGACACACAGCAAAATAATGCCCGGCATTTCTAATCAAACATTCAGATTAAAGTCTTGTTGATGAATCCTAATTATCTCTAGATAAAAATGTACACATTTTCGCGTGCTGCTTTTACAACGCCTACTCAGAGATTCTAACATTTATAACTTCCTTATAATACAACATTAAGTTAGATTTATTGCAGTAGCAGAAGTCAGCCATTGTCGCCTTCAGTAAGTATACTTACACAGTTATAAAAATAGAAAATTCACGAACTTTGTACCCTCAGCGATATCTAAGATATAAGTAAGTCGAAGCCGGTTGTATTTTTGGAACGCCAAAGCGAGTTTAAACAGTTAATTTCAATAGAAAACATTTTGGGTATCAATTTCACCTGTATGTAACAGGATTTTCTATTATGGGCCATAAATGTAACGTAAAATTTCGGTGAAATTATCTCAAGCCCAAGTGTGGAATATTCAGAAAAATTCGTACGATTTTTCTCTGATTTTTACGCTTTAAGCATTTTTTCGAGAGTTTTCAGCTGTCGGGTTGGAAAATGATCCGAATTGAAAATTCCACTCTATTGAGTCCAGTTAACACGTGCTGTATCTCTTTTGCACGCAACAGCCCCACGCTATTCTACA